GGGTGAGATGACAGGGCGGAAATAGCGCACGACTTCCGTGCACGCTCTCCAAAACATCTCGCGTTCCATCAACGACCAACAGCGAGTTTCATCCCTTGGCCAGAAACGCATTTGCCATGGAAATAAGGGTCTGGTTTTAGCTCCTGGACAGCCACAGGATCGGCCTCAGGCTCGAAACAGCCATACCCGAGCGGCAAGTGGCTCAATACAGGCGCCCATGGCAAACATAGCCAGTAGCAGACCTCTGCATTGTGACACGTTGACCGCCCTGTTTCCCCAGATCTCGCTTCAAGCGTTCAGGCGTCAAGAAAGCGTGCCTTCGCGACGCCTGAAGTCTCGAAGGTGTTATGGCATGGCATGCGTATACCGATTGATCCGCTCAACAGGCGGCAACTGTTTCTCTATATACTATATAATGGACGCAAATGTGCTCATTTGGCTCGGCAGGCAGGTCCACGTTCTTCTCTTCTCACTACCAATTACACACCAAGACAACCTTCGTTTCTACCCGCATTTTCTTAATTCCCAAACGAGCTAGTCTCTTTACCAACAAACAAACCATAATGCATTTCTCAACCATCTTCGCTGCTTCGGCCATGGCCAGCGCTACCTTCGCAATGGATCACAAGGTCATTGTCGGTAACAAGGCTGGCGATCTTGTCTTCAAGCCAGACAGCCTCAAGGCCGCTGAGGGCGACACTGTCACCTTCTCGTTCTGGCCCAAGAACCACTCCGTCGCTCAGGCTACCTTCGCCAACCCTTGCCAGGTAAGATTCTCCATATACGAACTGCGTGTGGGACATACACTGACTTCGTGCGTCCAAATTTAAAGCCTATGGACGGTGGCTTCTTCTCCGGTTTTGTTCCGACATCTGATATGGAGAGCGTCGCCAGCACAACCTTCACCTATGAGGTCAAGAATGCTTCAGCTCCCGTCTGGTTTTACTGCTCTCAGGGCATGCATTGCCAGAATGGCATGGTCGGTGTTATCAACCCCCCGTAAGTTTTCCACTTATCTTGTAGTCGCTTGCTTTCACTGACATTGTCTAGGGCGTCTGGTCCCAACACTCTTGATGCATTCAAGAACGCTTCTGAGAAGGCCACCGAAAACGTATCGCCTACATCAACCGCCGGCACTGGTGGTAAGCTCAACGAAAACGGTACTTCAACATCCGAGTCACCTTCACCTTCTTCAGCAACAGGTGCTGCGTCCCATCTCGCTGGCAGCGCTGTGTTCGCGGGTATGACGGGTCTGTTCACCTTCTTCATGCTCTAAGCGATCGAGCTTGTAGTGCGAAGCAACTGTTATACCCCAGCAAAGATGGAACGAAGCTCTGGCAGACAATGTGCATTAGTATGGTGGAACACCATCAAAAGAAAGTGGCAAAGTATAGGTATTCTTGGTGTTAATCGTATATGAGTATTGAATGAACTAGTCAAAACTCCAACTATGTACGATCGTGTAGTGAGCACTGCTAATTGGGTAACGTACAGAGCTGCATACATGTTGGTCATAGCAGCATGACTGCTAAACGATGGCGGAGTCTAGGTGGCCTGTTAAGAGTCAGCGAAAGCTGACGAAAACGAGCAGAAGTGTAATGTGAAGTTGAAATGCAAATCAGACATCCAAGGAAGGTATTCGCGCTCATTGACCATCTAAAGTAGGTTCGATTGATGGCTAGCGTGGAAACTGCGAATGTGGAATGCTTTTCATCATGGTGCAGGGATGGGAAGTTGGGAGAGCAGTAGTACTTACAAGAGCAAGTGCTCAAAGCAGAGAAACTGGTGTCAATGAGCATGCGACACAGGGGCGAGCGCTGGATACGCTTGCAGCTGCAGAAGAAGAAGAAGAAGAAGAAGAAGAAGAAGCACGTGAACTGAAGCAGAGTGCAGGAAGCTAAAAACTTGTAAGTGGACCCGATCGGGGTTATGTTTCGCCGGGGCCGCAGAAACTTGTTCTCAGCGCATGCATGTGCTTGTAATGCCGGACGTTGCTTCTAAAGGAACTGCCTGGACACCATCACTCAGAGCTATGCCCCGGTTTCGACATGTTGTTGTCACATGTTCGTTGTGTGGGCTAGTGTTCCGATAGGGCTCACAACTCAATCACAACCTTGCGAAAGCTGACACCCTCCTTCTGCTTCTTGTAGCCCTCCGCCACAGCGTCGAGTCCCTTTCCAACTACCAGTGGTTCTGGGCTAAGGTACGTGCACGAAGTCAGTGTATGCCTCACACGCACTTGGTACATAGATACTTACACAGCTTTTAGTGTACCCCTTTCCAGCGCCTCTGGCACCCACCGAGCCCAGACAACGTCACCGACGTACTTGTCCGCCAGCGCTACACTTGGACCGAAGACGCTTGTGCCCTCGATACCTTTTGGAAGGCCCTCTGCATCAGGCAGCACAGAGCCATAACGTCCACCGAGCTTCTCGTATACTGGTGCCCAGGCAGCCGCAGCATCCGGTGTACCAATGGCGTCACAAACACCCGCGAATTCCGTGCCTTCGAGAGCAGCGATGATGTCGTGGGCGACCTTGGGGTCCTTGTAGTCAAAGGCTGCTGTTGCGCCCAGGCCTTTGAGCTTCTCTAGGTTGTGCTTGCTCGCTACGCTGACGACCTTTACACCGGCACCCGCGGCTAGCTGAATTGCAGTCGCTCCAACGCTGCTCGAGCCGCCCCATACCAACACTGATTTGCCCGTAGAAGAGGGGTTGGAGGATGGCAAGGGTAACGCGAGGGTCTCCTTCTTGAAGAGGCATGCGGCGGCAGTGGAGACGGCAAGAGGTAGCACCGAGGCCTCGGCGAACGTCATGTGCGATGGAATCTTCGATACGACGAGCGCGTTGCAAGCAGTGTAGAGCTGAAATCCACCGTGCGCGGGGTCGTTAGTCACGAGTGAGAACGCGTGTCTGTACCATGCTGTTAGTTCACAGCCCCGCGGAAGCTCTCAAGGTTGAAGGCGGAAGACGAACCCTAGCACCCGGTCGCCCTTGGTAACGTGTGTAACGCCCTCGCCAACTTCGTGCACCTCACCAGCGACGTCAGTACCACAGACGTTGGGATACTTTTGCAGGAAGATGCCGTAGTCCTGGATTTTCCCTGCTCTAATTAGCAAACTCATTCCTACTAGAAAATGCAGATGCTCACAATCTACGGGGTTAACGGCAACGGCGTGGTTCTTAATAACAACCTCGCCCTTGCCTGCCTTTGGCATGGGAGCTTCCTTGACCTGGAGCTGGCCCTTTGCTTCTGGGATCCATGCTGCTTTGTTTGACATGATGGTGGTAATTCTTGAAAGATATCGTTTCTTGGGAGCAGAGTACAGACACAGATGTGAGGCAAAAACGATGGCTTGTACCTAACTAACGAAAGAAGAGACAGCACCGGTGTACGACGGCGCAACACGCTCGCCGATGCCGTCTACCCACCTTCGATTACTGAGCCTCGGTAGATCTCCAGTTCATACACACAGATCGAACCCCACATTACGCTTTGTTTTCGAACGTGACTACAGATCTGTTTAGCATGTTAACTGGTGAGCTGGTTATGCGGTGACGTTATCTGAGCAATGATGATGTATAGCGCTATGTCATCGTTGGTGGATTTAAACGGAGTTTGGTCGGCTTGTTCCATGCGCACGGTTCGAGCCGGGGAGTGCCACGAGTGAACACCAACAGAAACGAGAAGAAAAAGAAACAGTAGAGTAATATGAGATTACGTTGCGGGTTGAAAAGAGTTTCGGTTTCGGAGTACTATTTGGATTCTACGCAGTCGCGTTCTTGCTCTGACACGTGGCTATTTAGTTACTGCTTGGAAGCCTAAATTGCATGTGATTTGGGTTCTTGAACAGACTTGATGTCTTCTACTTTATTCATACATTTCAGGTCTTCCCCTTGCGATCTATATACAAACTATTGTTGAACCCTGGCTACTTACGCCAAGATTCGAGTCAAGAAGGTATACATGCAACAGGTTGTGCTTGCAAGTAGCTCTCTGCATAGTTCGCTCTATCTGTTAATTCTTCTTTTGGTTTTATTGGACAAGACAAGCTTTTAGCCTGGAGTGTATTCTCTCACATTGCGATTTTTTTGCGGGGCATGCGGGCGTGTGTAGATACAGACTCAATTACACATCAACAGCTTGTTGTCACCCCATACACAATATTGTCTATCACAGCCTGTAATTCATAACGGCCCATTGCTTTAGAGATTGCAATAGATTCAGGGACTGCATGAGGCTACTCTGGATGCGATCATGAACTCGTTAATGTCTGGTATTTGCTTAACCTATCAAGCGTAAAAGGCGAGATGTGTTAGGTATTCCAATTCATCTCGGCTCCTTATTCCAAAACTGTTGGCTTATGTTGTCCTGCCTCATTTACGATCTCTGCAGATTTCATGTGCCTCCTGTTCGGCCGAGCGTTGTCATAGGTGTGCAGCGTGTACGCCACCAAAATTTGTCAAGAAGCAGCCTGTCCAGGGCTCCGTGGGCTGCTGCCACAACTCGGCCACTCGTGCGCGGCTTAATATTGGGAGGTATGAAGCTCCAGGTCCTCTCCTACCAGGAAATCGAGAAGTTAAGTAAGTGACAAAACCGCGGCAAAGGCCTCGTAAAGGCTGAGAGAGCGATAAGCGTGCTGCCGAGTCATTTGTGACGCGTATCAAGCCACCGTCTGATTCAAGCGCCAATGCCCCGACAAGCGCAGTAGGTAGCAACACCAACCAATGTGGAGTGGCATTGCAACGGCGCAGCCGAAGCAGATGGCCATGCCGCACTCCGATTGACTTTTGTTGGTTTTCCACCACTACAACCACCCTGCTACGAAACCGTCCGTGACCGCCTCGCCGAAACGCCCGCGTACTGCGATGCTTACTTGGCCTCGCTGATCTGCATCTCGCAATCGGTCCTGCGACCTGATCCCCACCATCCTCATCAACTACCTAGACAGCGACTCTCCGCCGGCTTTCCTCGCGTTCCAAGATACCTTCTTCGCCACGATGAAGCTACCTCCCATCGCGGTAGCCTGTCTTTCCGCTCTCGCCATAGACTCATGCAGCAACGTCATCGCGCAACGCCTCAAAGCATGGAACGAATCTAAGCCCTTCGTCTTCGACCGCGTCCTCTTTACCCAGTTCGCCATCATGGTCGTACTCACCGCGCCCATCAACTACCACTGGCAGAATTGGCTCGAGCGCGCGTTTCCGGGCTGGAAGACCGTCAAGCAAACAAGGGCTGTAGGCGAAGGTGAAGAGGAGAAGGGCATAATGCTGAGAGGTGATGGAGAAGGAAAGGGCATTGTGGAAGAAGAGGTTAGAGTGAGGAACTGGTGGAATATTTTCAAGAAGTGGTTTACGGACGTGAGTGGCCTATGCTCCAATTGTGGTGACGGATTAAAGCTTACTCGCGAGATACAGTGCATAACCATGGGCGCGCTACTGAACCAGTCAATGTTCCTGATTCTGATTGGTCTCATGAAGGGCAAGACAGTTGCGATGATTGGGCAGGACTTCAGAAACGTAAGTAGGCCCTCTGCCGAAGGGCTGCTGTGTGCAGTGCTAATACTTAAAACAGGAGCTCTTCGGTCTCATCTTCGATTCGTACAAGGTCTGGCCGATTGCCAACTTCTTTAGCACCACCTTCATCCCTGTCGAGCGTCGTATTGTCTTCCTCAGCTTCTGCGGTTTACTGTGGAACATATATCTGAGTCTGGTGGCAGCTCGATTGTAGACGTACCAAGACGCAACATACCAGATTCCGCTTAGAATAAACACAAGGAGGATGAGGACTGCGTTACGCTGGTATCTAGATCAAGTAGACATGTTACCACTCCTCGGCCCCTTCTTCCAAGCTTCCATAACCGCTGCCCAATATTTGTTCTCGTCCTCCCTGATATGACCACAGTGCGGACTTTTCTCAAACTGCACCTTTGTCACATCCCATCCCTTTGCCTTGGCAAGATCAGCGTGCTCATTTGCCTCCTCAAACCGAACCATCGTATCCGAATGACTATACAAATACAGACGCGGTACATTGGTATCAAACACCGATTCATCGTTCAGTTCTCGGCAGAGAACTACCATCATATTCTCCCTTCCCGTAGTCTTGTCTGCAATAAATGTGAGGACAAGGAGAAGATGAACCAGCGCCCCACCAAACCAAACCCAAAACGTGTTTCTGGGAAGGGACGCGGAAATGGCTGCATGGCTCTGCATCCACGGGCCTTTGGTCGGACTGGAATCGAGAATCTGTGCTTGCATTGGTAGCACTGTTCCATACTTCTTCTTCCATGCTTTTGCAAATTCATTGACTTGATTCCCGCCGCCGTTTGAGAAACTATGGACAAGGATGCGTCCTCCTGAAGCGGTATGTTCGGCTACAAGATCTGTTGTTGGCTCGAGCAATGTGGCGTAGGACGAGGTACGGCGGAACATGTCTGGGGTGAAGCATCGTACCAGCAGGATGCAGGATGTTGGGAAAAGCTTCTGGTAGGCAAGTGTGTATTTGGCGATGTGCTTTGCGGCCGCAGCGTTCCAAGTGAAGAGTAGGATGAGCGGAGTTTGCTCTGCGAGTTGGGATAGGTATGATGATGATGTCCAGAGATATGTGTTGTGACCTATCTTTTGAAAATCGGATAGCGGTGTTACCATGTCTGCAACGGGTGGAGAGGCTGGTGGCTCCATTGCTGCGTGTGAACAAGGAAGCTGGTATGATGAGGTATATAGACACCTAGGCAGAGATGTATACTACATTGCGTCTTGTTAGCTAATTGTCAACGACGCGACGACCTTCTCTAGAGCAGGTCTTCGAAACACAGCCTCGAAAGAACACGCTTCCTCGTAATTCACGTACGATTTGCTAGTAATGATACGGCCATAGAGCGAGCAGGTTGCTTCATCAGCTGAGCCAGAGAACACAGAGACGTCAATTGGTAATGATATAAAAGTCCTTCTCAGGAATGCACGTTTAATAGCACGAGTTGAATTCACGACCTTGGCGTAGAAGAGCAACCGAGCCGAGGTACCACCATTATTGGCTATTTACGTCCACTCTCGCAACACGCACCGAGTTCAATCTACGCGACTTACACTTTTGAGTTCTGAGACTATGGGGCCTTGCATTGTGCAGTCTGACGTGCTGGTGCCTAAACCGCAGTCTGGTTCTGACCCAACGCCCATGCAGCTGTGGGGCTCACCGTTGCACCCGCCTGCGCCACCCCGATAGCGGTGCTTACGCCGCCCTCGCCCACCGCTGCACTCTATCCTGCAGCAAATCTGGTGCCTGATTACTTGGAAGTAGAGGTAGCTGTTGAGCGTGTAGTCTGATGTGAAGTGAGAAGATGAATGGAAATAGTATATGGGAGAGCTCAGCTTGACATGTATTTATCTAATGGGTCGCTTCTCGTCCCCTGCCACAAGCGCCGCCTCCTGCGATGCCATATGCGACTTGTGCGCGTGCTTGTTGATTGTCGTCTGTATCCCATTGCCATGGCCATGGCGGGCGGAACGTCAGGTACTGGTGGAGCGGCGGGCGTATTATTTGCTCCTTTCCTGCCCAATTTGAGCGACAGTAGTATGAAAACAGCTGCGATCAAGATGGCTAGCAGTAGCATAATCTTCCTCTTGATGGTGCGCTTCTGGTATCCAGAGGCGACGTTGAGCTCCTTGTCGGCTTCTTTGACGTCTCGCGACATGTTCTCTACATTGTAATCTATGCGATCGAGCATGCTGCCCTGATCGATGACCATGGTCTGCAGCTCTTGGAAGATGTTTGCTAGCTCGATGATGCCTTGGGCGATGTCTTCGATTTCGCGCTCGCGCTGAGCAATGATTGCTTGATTGGGGTCGTGGCGCATGCGCTGTTGCTTTGTCTGGAGGAGAGTGGACTGGGAGAAGGAGCGATCGGCGTCCGACTCTTGCAAGGCAGGGTCGTTGTAGGGGTTTTGGACGGGTGTTGCAACGCGGAAGGGCGAGGTGAAGCCGCCAAGGTCGCGTAGTTCTCGACAGACTGTTAGCATAGCCAGGGCTGCGAGGCGGGGGTTGTCTCACTCTTGAGGTAGGCAGCCTGCTTCTTGCGGAACATGGCACTGACATGGCCGACGCGGGTTGCCAGTGCGATTTTGAGGTTCTGGGCCATGACGTCTTCGCCCTGGGCGATGCTGCCCTGCTGTTTTGCGTCGCGGACCATGGCGTCGATGCGCTTGAGGGCTTGCTGGCACTTTTGGAAGAGGCGCGTGATGGCCTGGGTGAGATGCTCAATGTCGCGCTCCTCGCGCCTCTTGACGTCTTCGTCGTCGAAGCCAGGCAGCACGTGCTTCTGGTGCAGCTGGTCGAGCTTGCGTGTCTGCGTGGCGATGTCGGCGAGGTGCTGGGTGATTTCGTCCTGCACGTCGAGCCAGCGCGGAGGCAGCAGGTCCATCTCAATCACGGCGTCGCCGTCGTCGTGGTAGGCGCCGCTGGACATGAGGCCCTGGCGCTCCTCGGACACGCGCGTGCTGTCGCCCAGGCCATTGGAGCGCGGGCGGGCATGGCGCGTCTTCTGCTGGGGGTGGTGGGCGTAGGACTGGCGGTAGGATATGAAGAGGTTGGTTCGGTCCCGCCACATGCTGGGCTGGCGAGGGTCAGCCTGAGAGGACGGCCAGACTGTGAGTGACGGCCGCTTCGCAGGCGTGTCGGCGGCTGAGGTGCGGTGCGCCGGCGAGGGAGCCGCCTTCCCGCTCTGGGCGACGCTAGGCCAGCTCCCCAACAGACGGCCGTCTGACAGCCTGCTCCACTCCAGCCCATCTTGCCCAGCCGCAAACACTACGGGACCCTCCTTCACACCACACCTGCGCCTCTGCTCTATCCACCGCCCCAGCCCATCGTCGCCCAGCAGCCCAGCACCCTTCACCCTCGCACCCACCACCCACCACCCAGAGACAACATGGTGTGTAGCCCCGCCCGCCCGCGCGCCCTCGCACATACCCCGCCCTGCAAAACACGACGACCGCACGCCCGCCCCCAGCCCGGCGCATTGCTAACACTGCCCTCTAGGCCGATTCTCTCACCGAGGAGCAGGTCTCCGAGTTCAAGGAGGCCTTCTCTCTGTTTGTAAGTGGCCGCCCAGCCCTGCCTGCCACCCAACACCAGCTAACCACCTTGCGATGCAGGACAAGGACGGCGATGGTCAGTACTCTCCGTCGCCTGCACCACCCACACCTTGCCCCCCTGGGAGCGCCCTCGTTCCTGCCCACGCAACCGCACTCCGCACTAGACACCCGAGTTTGACCCCGCTGACGATGATGCCTCACAGGCCAAATCACCACCAAGGAGCTGGGCACCGTCATGCGCTCGCTCGGCCAAAATCCCAGCGAGTCTGAGCTCCAGGACATGATCAACGAGGTGGATGCCGACAACAACGGCACCATTGACTTCCCAGGCACCTCTCCCTCCCACTTCTGCCACACCCCCGCTCTAACCTCGTGCAGAATTCCTGACCATGATGGCCCGCAAGATGAAGGACACCGACTCCGAGGAGGAGATCCGGGAGGCCTTCAAGGTCTTCGACCGCGACAACAACGGCTTCATCTCCGCCGCCGAGCTGCGCCACGTCATGACTTCTATCGGCGAGAAATTGACCGATGACGAGGTTGACGAGATGATCCGGGAGGCCGACCAGGACGGCGACGGCCGAATTGACTGTACGTCCTGTTTGCTGCCATCACACGTGCCGCTCTAATACAATCCAGACAACGAGTTCGTCCAGCTCATGATGCAGAAGTAAGCCTCTGAAGTTGCGAGGTGGAATGACTACATGTATTGCGACGGTAGCACGGCTGAGAGTTGATGTCGACGAGTGACGGCACAGTTTGACCTACTTGGCGTGTCGTGTCTTTGTACCCCGGATTCGGTTGCTTGTAACCCGAGTCGCCCGGCTTGTTTGTCAGCGTCTGCAGGGAATTGTCTCCTATACCTATCCTCAATTCACATTCTCACGTATTTACCCCAACTTTCACTTTGGTGCAGAGCCTCTCCTGAATGGTCTTGAGCCACACTCAAGCCTTCGGGTTTTTGCAAGACACGCAGGGCCATGAGGCGGTGCATACCAGGACAAGCTTTGACCACTTAGCCTGCGGGTCCTTTGCTGATCAGTCTCCATGGACACGAATGCGCGTCTTCAAGGGTAAACCTTCTTCCTCTGCCCAACTGCGCTGCGGATTACGATCTTCGGCTGCTTCATTGCGATTGCCCTACGCCCCTCCCCCATGATGATCAACGCATCTGCGTCCACCACAGTGAGACAATATGGCAACCTCGCACAAGACACATAGATTTCCAAAAGGTGTGTGGTCGTGCAATTGCTTTCTGTTTGTTATGACCGACTCGCATACTCTTCTATTCGTAGTCTTGTACCCGTATTGCATTGCGAGCAGGAATATACGCAGTCCTCCTCGAGCCGAACGGGTCAAGAGGCCGTACTGCCGCCCCGTCTGTATGTCATCACTAGAAAGTATAGGCGAGATCGACACGAAAAGGGAATAAGGATCTTCGGTACAGCAAGTCATGGAGAGACGTTTATGGCAAATGCCATCTCCCGTTCGATTATCCACCCACTGACGGGAATCCCCAGCATGGCGACTGCCATCTCATGTCCGAGTCGTCGTCATCGTAAACCACGACGGTTGCGGCCCCATCTGGCTTGGCAAGTAGAGGCGGAGGGAGCCGCAACGTTGCGCAACAGCTTTCTAGGCT